ACAACTCTGAATGTGCTTCAGTGGCCCAGCCAGAGCCCAGACCTAAATCCTATTGAACATCTCTAGTGAAATCTGAAAATGGCTGTATACACCGTTGCTTCCCATCCAACCTGATTGAGCTTGAGAGGTCCTGCAAAGAGGAATGGGCAAACATTCCCAAAGACAGGTGTGCCAAGCTTGTGGCATCATATTCAAAAAGAGTTGAGGCTGTAATTGCTGCCAAATGTGCATCAACAAAGTATTGAGCAAAGGCTGTGAATACTGATGTCCATGTGATTTTTCTGTTTTTTTATTTTTAATAAATTTGCAACAATTTCAAAAAATCTTTTTTTCACATTGTCATCATGGGGTATTGTGTGAAGATAAATTAATTTAATCCATTTTGTAAATGAATTTAATGCATTTGGAATAAAATTGTAACAAAAAAAATGTGGAAAAGGTGAAGCACCATGGATACTTTCCGGATGCACTGTATACATTTTTTTCTTGCTTTTTACTATTTTTGAAAATGATATTTAATATTTTTCCCTAACATATAAATTTTGGCTATTCATTTTTTAACCATTATCGTAAGTTATTTTGTTAGATTAGCTCCAGATTTGGCTTTAGTACTCACTAAACTAATGTATATGCACAAGTAGAATATTTTAAAGCATCCTATAGAAAATATTCATTTAAATGAGATATTTGTGAGGGGTGTTTTTAAGGTCCAAATGATTAGCCCCTTTAAGCTATTTTTTATTTCAATATTCTGCAGAACAAACCATCATTATACAATAACTTGCCTAATTACCCCTACCTGCCTAGTTAACCCAATTAACCTAGTTAAGCCATTAAATGTCTGGTTTAATGCCATTAAAGCTATTAAAGTGTCTTGAAAAATATCTAGTCAATATTATGTACTGTCATCATGGCAAAGATAAATTAAAACAGTTATTAGAAATAAGTTATTAAAACTATTATGATTAGAAATGTGTTGAAAAAATCTTCTCTCCGTAAAACAGAAATTGGGGGAAAAAATAAACGGGGGGCTAATAAATCAGGGGGTTTAATAATTCTCTCCTCAACTGTATGATGGATATACTGTCAAGCCCAAAATTATTCATACCCCAGGGTGTATATACACACAACATATTCAATACATTATTTTAATTTGCAAGATTAGAAAGATATCCTGCAAATAATAACATAACCTATATTCGAATATGATATGTAGTTTACATACATTTACAAAACATTTTTACATCTATAAACTTTTATTATATTGATTACCCATTAAACACAGATCTATCTCTAAACATGCATTTTTGTAGGTCTCAGTCACCAAAAAGATTGAGAAAACACAGCAAGCTCTAATAAAGCCCACTTAATGCAGCAGCAAAAAAAAAAAAAAATAGGAGACTTACATCGGTGTGCTTTTAGTCCTTCAAAAGACACAGGCTCTTCATCGTCGTAGTATTCGTAGCTCCATTCATAATTGTGATTTGGGACACTGGTGCTGTTTGAAAGCTGGAACCTCGGCATCTTCAATCAGAGCTGATATTAGCCTCGCGCACTGGGAACAAACATCACAGCTCCGTGGCGCGCAGCAGTCAGTGTGCGCTTCACAATCATCTGCTGCATCCAGAGCTGAGAACACCAGCAGCTCTTTAACACTGATTTCATCCTTTATCCAGCGAGCATCTGAGCTAAAGGCGGAGTGTGTTGTGTGTGTGGTCTGTGTCTGTGCTCGTGAGCTCTGCGGTCTCTACTGAATCTCCTCATCTGAATATACGATGAGATCACGCCTCTCATCCATCAACGCGCGCATGAATGGAGAGATTTCACACACCTCAGGGGGCATCCGAGAGCCGTTCTGTATTTTTTTTTTCTTCAACTATTTTTATGAAAAAGGCTGTGGTGTAGAAATTACTGAATTACTATGTTCGACAAATCACACTGAATTGCTTCCGGCACTGTTTCTTTTTAACCATTTTTTAACCATACCCGTTCGTTATGTTTGTGGCTGTTTTTGCCCCATTGACTTTCATTACAATGACGTTTATTCATTGCTAAAGCCATCACAGCATATAATCAGGCATTTTTGATTCTTGGTGTTTTTCCCTATTGGGAAGAGCTCAAATGTGTAATTTTTACTGTTGATCATCAGTTGCTGTGCAAAAAAAGCTTTGATTCTGCCTTCTATAAGGAGTATAGTGTTTATAATATATAGTCATTATAATGGAAGTCAATGGAGCAAAAACAGCCACCAACATAATAAAAGGGTAGTAAATTTGCCCAGGGTGTATTGTTGTGTTTTTTTTTTTATTACAAAGTATTTTCCTAAAATGCGTGTCAAAATCAGATTTGTCACTAAAAATCATTCCATTTTGCCGAAACACAGAGAAAATTGTGGCCAAATTAAGACTCCAAATCACCCCAGAGTGGATGAAAATGCCCCCAACAGCACACAAGGTTTAAAAGTTAAACCATTACATCACCACCACCAGCCTGAATCGTTAATACAAGGCAGGATGGATCCATGTTCGTATGTTGTTAAAGCCAAATTCTGACTCTGCCATATGAATGTCGCAGCAGAAATCGAGACTCATCAGACCTGGCAACGTTGTTCTTATCTTCTGTTGTCCAATTTTGGTAAGACTGTGCAAATTGTTTCCTGTTCTTAGCTGACAGAAGTGGCACCTGGTGTGGTCTTCTGCTGCTGTAGACCATCTGCCTCAAGGTTGGACATGTTGTGCGTTTAGAGATGCTCTTCTGCAGATCTCGGTTGTAACAAGTGGTTATTTGAGTTACTGTTGCCTTTCTATCAGCCGGAACCAGTCTGGCCGTTCTCCTCTGACCTCTGGCATCAACAAGGCACTTGCGCCCACAGAACTGCCGCTTACTGGATATTTTCTTTTTTTTCTGACATTTCTCTGTAAACTAAATTAGCAGTTTTTTTTAAATATTCAGACCAGCCTGTCTGGCACCAACAACCATGCCACATTTAAAGTCACTTAAATCTCCTTTCTTCCCCATTCTGATGCTCTGTTTGCAGCAGATCGTATTGACTGCAGCCGATCGTCTTGACCATGTCTACATGCCTAAATGCATTGAGTTGCTGCCATGTGATTGGCTGATTAGAAATATGTGTTACCGAGCATTGGGCAGGTGTACCTAATAAAGTGGCCAGCGAGTGTATGTATAAAATAAATAATTTACTAAACATCTGTTGCTTTCTGTATTATTGTCAAAAAAAGGGTCCTGGTCATAAAGAAAGGTTAATAGACATAATATAAATATCAAATAGCAAGCTCATTTAAATTAAAAACTATGAAATTACAAAATATATTAAAATAAATATTTGTTGTTTTTGTTTTTTTCCTGAACACATGGTGTAGTGTTTTAGAACGCAATCCTCTTCTAAAGTATCTGGGTGACATTTCATCTCTGTTTCCAATCCAGTTTGACTGATGTGCTGTTCCCTGGTCAGTTATTGACCTGAGATGCAAGGTGGGCATTGAGAGTGAATTGCTGAGGAAAGTGTCAGTGGTGTTTGTGTATGTGTGCGCCGCAGGCTGACTGAAGCTTAATGAGGATGTTGCTGGAGTCCTGGGACTTCTCTCTCAGTAAATGAGACCGGTGTTATTGATCATGCATGCTAATTACAGCAGCTTGTCTGACTACGAACCCATCTGTCAAAAGGTCAGGGGTCAGACATTTAGATTTGCTTATTAAACTGCGCATAGTAATAAATAATTTCAATTTATATATTTTGGGCGACACAGTGGGTCAGTGTTTAACACAATCGCCTTTAAGCAAGAAGGTTGGTGGTTCGACTCCCGGCTAGGTCAGTTGACATTTCTATGTGGAGTTTGCATATTCTCCTCATAATCGCGTGGGGTTTCCTCCCCGCGCTCTGGTTTCCGCCACAGTCCAAAGACATGCGATATAGGTGATTTGAATAAACCTAATTGGCCGTAGAGTATGAGTGTGTAGGGAGTGCTGGATTGTGGCTGGAACTGCATCTGTTGTGCAAAACATATACTGGATAAGTTGGCGGTTCATTACACTGTGGCGTCCCCTGATGAATAAAGGGACTAACCCCAAGGAAAATTTATGAATATATATATATATATATATATATATATATATATATATATATATATATATATATATATATATATATATATATATATATATATATATATTAATGAATATTTATCTCATATTACTTATGTAATAAAAAAATACTCCACTGTTTATCCTCACTATTTATTATTCATCTTACAATTATTACAGTAATGCCATTAGTTGAAGATATGTTAAGGCATAGTTATGAAAACCATTATGAAAAAACTTTACTTTAACTCATCTTGCAATTGCATAAAAGCATTAAAACGGTTCAATTTGTCAAAAAAAGGTCAATTTATTATTATTAGTATGATGATGATGATGAGTATTATTATTGAAAATATAAAATACGATGAATTGTTTAAAACAGGATTGCTCAGGGTTCTGACTTTTTTTTATCTTAATATCTAAATTGGTTTCCTTATTACTCAGAATTCTGTTTTTTTACTCTGCTTATTTCCCCTTGTATTATACATTTAAATTTTAAGATATAAGCATGTAATTACAAGTCATCAAATGCATACATTTAAAAATAAATAAAACACGAATATTGACCTTATTCTTCAATGCGGAAGTGCGCTCGTTCTTGCGATCGTTTTAGAATTTCTGATTCAGTTGTCTATGGGAGAAATGATTTGGAATAAAAAAAAACTGCAGAAAACGGTCAAACTACTCTATACACAAGTGTTTGCATGACTATACAGAAAAGGCAGAATAATATAATAAGAAAATATCAGTTTGCAACATTAAGCAGCAAAACCAGCTGTTTTTAATGTCTAAAAATGAATGGAAGTGAATGAGACTGGAAGACACGAGCTAAAAAGATTCAAATGGCTGCGCCCGCGAAGAATAAGGTCAAAAGTTGCAGACATGCAATCTGAAAGCAATTATTAAAAAGGATGTGCTTTATTTCGTTTTGCAAAAGCATGAGAAGTGTAAAAACGAAGGTTACATTTTGCAGAAAAGCTCCTCGGATTATGTTTATTATACTTGGATTTAGGGCTGCACAATATATCATTTCAGCATAGATAGGCCTATCGCAATGTGCGAATGTGCAATAGTCACATCACAGGATCTGCAATGTCAAGTTGGGATTGTAATTAACCAAAAAACAAAGTTCAGAACAAAGTTAACCCTAAAAGCGTGAAAGTTTTTTTTTTAAAGGTCTAGAATTATGGTTTTCTTTTGGTATACGCACACAGACTTTTAATTTCAGTCAGCCAGCCCCAGGGTTCTGGTTCAATTTCGTCCCATACAAAATCGCAGCGTATAAGAGCTGATTTCTTAAAAAAAAAATAATACGATTTTTCACTGCATGCCTGAGATGCAATATAAAGTGGGTATCAGACCAAACAAGAAGCACTGCATTAAATTATATTTTTCCTTGCCATGTCTTTAAAATATGGAAATTAATTTAACCCCAGTATTTTCAATGGAGTTTCTGCACTGGCCTGCGGCTTTTGACGAAGCCTGCGTTTAAACGTTTGTTAGTCTCTTTTTTTACGCTTTAACAACTAAATGAATGCTTAGGTTTATTTACTTCATTATCTGCTGTAAAAGGAACCTTATGAAATTGAAAATAGTTACATAAGGCTTTCACTGAAAGTTCCCCACACGGAAAGAACCTATATAAACATATATGTTTTGATAAAGGTTTTTAATATATGTGACATACTGTATATAAAATTAACCATTTTCATATACGTCACATATTTTAAAAATCTATATTAAAACATGTTTATATAGGTTATTTCTTTGTGGGCTCTCACTTATTTGCCATAGTTAAATTCCAGACCAATTACATGTGATCCCAATTTCAAGTGTTCGCACACATACGTTTTTTGCATATATTTTTTAGTTCGTAGTTAATGCCTTAATAATAGAAAATATGAGCTAAACATCATGTATACAGTTGCCAAAGTGATATTTGAGCTATATAGGAGACATATCTTGTATGTACATATGTGGGCTTATATGGGGATATGAAGAAGCAATACAGTAGACCTATATGGACTATATGCACATATTTGCATCTCAAATTTGCCTATATGAATGCAGCCTATACATTATCATATATGTGCATATATACTGTATATATGTTTCATATATGCGCATATATCCTCACATATGTTATTTCTATGTGGGTCATCATTGGCTGAAAAACATTAGCTGTGCATAGAGCCCATTGAATTAACTTAAAATGATAAAATTTGTAAAAAGTTTTTATAAAATTAGCAAAGATCAATTATATTTAATTATTTCTATAATGAAGACCATTTGAGGCAGAAAAGATCAAAGGTTTTTAAAATTTTCTTTATATATTGCATGAAGAGACGTTGAATTGTTTTAGGGCAACTTTGATGAAAGGTTTGATCCACTTCAAATGTTGACTATCATATAAAGAGTTATTTTATTAGTTGATTAGTTAATTTGTGTACCTCAATATTGTTAGATTCTCCAGAAAATCATAAAGCACCGTTTATTTCATTTATATCTTTGTTTTATTTTAAAGTTCAGTTTATTATTCAAACAATGCTAGACGTGATTAACTTTAGTGTATTAATTTATGCTTGTAATTTGCTTATAATTGTAATTCATCACAATCAACGTAAAATGATGACTTTTTTTCCCAAACAGAGTCATCTTGTGAAATCATATTCATATCTCATATCTCTATATATTACATCATTCACATCCTTTATCGCAGAAAAACTAAATATCGCAATGTCAGTTTATTTCAATATCGTGCAGCCCTACTTGGATAATTGATAGACAAATAAACATGTTAAACAGCTTGATATCATTTGATATGTTTCAGGTAAAAAAATACATTCAGCAACACGTATATCTTTAGTAGAATTTTTTTTTTTTCTTTAATGTCAGTATTGACGTCACTGTGTGCAGACGATGGCAGGATATTCTGGTCTCTTCTCTTAGATGACATCAACAGCATCTTTAAACTGTAACAGCAAACACAAGGTATGACATACAACAGCATAAGTAATTATTCTCACACTGAAAAGGAAGCTTTCTTTAATTTTAAGATTTTAAATGTTGTAGAGCTGGGGTAGGGAACCTGTGGCTTTGACCAAAAATATGTGGCTCAATGGCCAGCTGTCTCCCTTCAATAAAAAATTAAACTGTCCCTGTAAAAATACCATTTCCTATTGAAAACACATTTAAAATGACCTTTTTGTTGTATATTTTTACAGAAAAATGAATAAGAATAAAATAAAAGGACATTTCAATTGTGCAGCGCTGTGGATTAACTTGAATCGGATACCAACAAAGATTATGCAACTTACATTTCTATGGTAACCTTGCGCATGTAAATTCAAACAACATTCATGAGTGTTGATGGTGAATAGAATTTTTTTTTTTAAATGATCCTTTCTTAATACATGGACTTGCTCGACATGTGATATTTTTTATCCCCAATGGGTCCTTAAAAAAATGCATTTGCCGAACAAATTCAGAAATGGCTCTTTGCTGAAAAAAGGTTCCTGACCCCTGCTGTAGAGTGATATATATTATAGCTGTGACTAGATAGACTTGTATACAGTAGTCAACATTTGAAGTGGATATAAAATATTATTAAGAAAAACAAATAGGTTTTTAGGTTTTAGGACATCTTTGATGAACATTTTTTATCCACTTTAAATGTTGACAGCTGTAGTAGAACAGTACTAGAAATATTCCTCTGAGATTTTGGTCCATATTGACATGATAGCATCCAATCCAATGGTCTATTGTCCAATGTTGTTGAGCCTGTGCGAATTGCCTTTAGTTTCCTGTTCTTAGCTGACAGGAGTGGCACCCGGTGTGGTCTTCTGCTGTAGCCCATCCGCCACAAGGATTGACGTGTTGTGCTTTCAGAGATGCTTTCTGCAGACCTAGGTTGTAATGAGTGGTTATTTGAGTGACTGTTGCCTTTCTATCAGCACTAACCAGTCTGGCCATTTTCCTCTGACCTCTGGCATCAAAAAGGCATTCACACCCACAGAACTGCCGCTTACTGGATATTTTCTTTTTTTCTGACATTTCTCTGTAAACCCTAGAGATGGTTGCGCATGAAAATTCTAGTAGATCAGCAGTTTCTGAAATACTCAGATCAGCCCGTCTGGCACCAACAATTATGCCACATTCAAAGTCACTTAAATCACTTCCCCATTCTAATGAACTGCAGCAGATGGTCTTGACCATGTCTACGTGCCTAAATGTATTAAGTGTCTGCCATGTGATTGGCTGATTAGAAATTTGTGTTAACGAGCCGTTGCAAGGGTGTAGATTTGCTCTTGACATTAGTGGGGACATGCATTCTTATAGCGCATGCACAGAACAGCACAAATTCTCTTTCCTGCTTTTAATAAAACACTTCCCATACTGCAAAAGTCAATTCACATGATTTTACTGCCTACTGGCAGTAAATTTTGATTTAACCCTTTCTGCATGTCTCGGTTACTAAGGATTGATGGATCATTATTTTATTTTATTTTAAAGGTGATTCAGTTATTGGTGTGGACAGTTCGGTAATTGCAGGATATTGGTGGGGACACATTCCCTCCGTCTATGCCAAATCTACACCCTTGAGCAGTTGGATAGGTGTACCTAATAAAGTGGCCGGTGAATGTATATATACAGTATGTTTTTGTATGTATGTATCTGTGTCTGCACTTTACAAAAGTGTGCTTGCTTTCATCATAGTACAGCATTTATCATTGGTAGAATATATATATTTGGTAGAGGAAATTAATTTAACACTTAACCTACGAATTAAAAAAAAAGCTTGTGCTGCAAACTTGACAACCCTGTTTAACCCTGTCTGGCAAACAAAAGCTTGGTTCAATGTTGACACTTGGTGGACAAACTAAGTAGTGCAAAAACTATTCAAAGCACACATGTGAGCTGTTATCAGTCTACTAGCCTGTGCATGTTGAAAAGAAAGAGTGCCTGTAAAACAAAGCGGAATACACACTTTAAAGCTTGAGACTGATTGCTTCGTCTCACCATTGTTGATGTCATTATGATGTTTGCTGGCAGATCTTCATCGCCATCAATCCTGCTAATATCACATAGTATCTGTGTCCTGGCGTTAAAACCTAAAAAAACAGCAATTTTCTGTCAGTGTTTTTATAGACGGTTCGCTACTTGATATCCTATTTGGCCTGCAGCGTTTGAGCTAAAACAGAGCCATCAAATGCTTGCTTGTTTAAGAGATCCTGTTAACTTTATACAAACCCATGTTTGTTTTAGTAAACTGTGGTGTCTGTCGTCCTTCCTTTTATGTGTTTATGTAGATTAATGATTCATTTTCTCACTATTATGTGATGACAGTCACAGTCAATTAATTTTAATTCATATCAGTTATCACAAGCACAAAATACAGAAGAAAGCAGTTCATTAGGCTTTTGGAAAAAATGAGAGAGAAGATTAATAGAGAGTTCAAACCACTGTACCGTATTCCCTTGATTTTTAGTATCCGGGAGAATTTCAAGTAATTCAGAATTAGCATTTGATGTTTCGGTGCCATCTGAAATGAAAGCCATTAGAAGAGAATGAATGCCATTGAAAGCCATTAGATGAAAGCCATTAGAAACATTTAAACTTAAAAATTATGCATTTTTTTCCTAAACTTTATTTATTGAACATAAGTGGATAGCATTCGTTGTATACAAATGTCCAATTTCTGCTTTTTTCCTTTTTAAACACTTTTGTAAACATTTAACCCTGACACCCCCCGCCCATCCCACCCACACATACACATAGCCACTTTTCTCATAAAACATACAACAGAAGAAAAAATAATAACAATAAAACAAAAAAAGATCATAATAATAATAGTACAATTTAAGATAAATATGTAAATATATTGAAATAAATAAATAAATAAATGAAATAAAGTAGATATATTAGCTAGTTACATCAACAATAATGTGCTACCTACTAGGTTATTATGGTTTTAGTTGTGCTGAGGTTGAACCAATGCGTCTAGTTTAGGGCATGACAGTTCCGGAGAAAAAATGTAAGATTAAAAAAAATAATAAATCCGACCATAAAATGATTTCTTAAATAATCACTTCCGGAGGTGTTAAATCATCAAAATAATTTAAATAATTATGCATTTTATACTAGTTATTAAAATTATGAACTGATTTTTTTTCTTTTTTTTTTTTTTTTGGTCATTATCGATCAAAATTTCTAAAATACAAATTAAGCCAGAGAGTATTTAATGAAAATCAGAAAGTGCTTGATTTACTGTGTATAAACACACAAGGAATTTTTCTTGGCAATGAAGCTTCCATTGAACACATGCAAGATGAAAGTAGTGTAATAATAAAATTAAATGATAAGGAAATGTTTTCAATCTAAAAGTATTTAAAGGTTATTTTCATATTTATTGCTTATAAAAGAAATTAAAATGTTTTCAAAGTTCATACATGCAAGGAAAAATTCACAACAAATCATTGTATTATTATAAAATAATGCACAGCTGAGGTGATAATGAATGGAGTTCTGGTGTTTTATTTCTGATCTTTTTTGTTCTGTTTATGTGTAATTGTGTTGTGTTGGAGAGTGGGAGAAAGAGAACACATGCACATAGATCGTTTCTTACATTTTTCAAGTACAGAATGTGAAAATAATTTAAAATATACAGAAATAATTTGCCGAAGTGATATAAAAACTAAAGGGACTAAGCCGAAAAGAAAATCAATGAATGAATGAATGATATGAATCTACTTTAGCTGAGTATGCATGAAAATATTAGCATATATATGATATTTATCAACCCAAACAATGACATGACTCATGGCTGAACTGTCATAGCATGATGCATCGTTTTGGAAAAGAACTAAGTGGTGATGAGTGTTTCCTAAAACCCTAATTGCTTTGTCGCAGGTCTATCGTTTAAACCACATTAGTTAAAACGTAAAACATCCATAATGACGATCTAAACGGGGCGGAGTACCAACTTCTTTAGAGAAAATTCCCATAATTCTTTTTGCAAATTATAATTGTTTTTTTTTACCATTGTAATAAATCACTTTATTTTCACAGCAATTCTTGTATGTGGTCATTACTTTGAGTACAATTTTCTTTGAGTGTTTATTTGAACAAAATCCTTGGTCAAGTGTGCAACCCCACTCCCCTAGACTACCCAGGGGTTGTAACACACGCATTTAAAAAAAAATCAATATTAGTTTTAGTAAAAACATGCACTCGTTTTCTATATTAATTGAAATAAACGGCACATATAGGGCCAATGTTTCCTTTACAGATATTATTGAGAACATTCCATATTCTATTCCAAAACATAAATCCACTTCGCTAACGCGTATTATCATATAGTAGTATATAGTATCATATATAAATCATATAAATTGTTAGGCTATTGGTTGTACTTTACAGTAGGCTATTTAATACGAAAAGAAAAAAAACATAATAATAATAATATTATTATTACAAATTTATTATTACTGTTATTATTATTATTATTGTTATTATATTATTATTAAGTAGGATATTGTTTAATTATTTTTTTAGTCTACGAATACAATTTGACACATTCAAACCACTGCAGAAATGTTCTAACCAACAGGCCCATGTCATATATGCCTACAGTACAGATACATTTCTTAATAAATAACCTACCACAAAATAAAATCATTAATGTATGCTATATATTTTTGTTTTCACAAGCTTTGGAGATGCAGTGTAAATTCCGCTTTTAAATAATAGGTCACCTTTAGCTTTCATTATTTGCCACAGCTGCATTCAAAATGGCATAAATGTTTTCAAAGTGCACTACGAAGAGAACACAATTGACAATATAAAGATTGCTAAAACTGAATTGTAAAAAAATACTTTGAAAGCAAATTAAGAGAGATGACTTTAGTGTTTTTTTTTAATCATTCCAAGTTTTAACATTGGAACCTTCGAAATGAATAGGGCATTGGGGGGACAACTGGAAATATAACACAACCAGAAACTCTGCTTCTAACTACAGCTCTAGAGGTGTAGTTGCAAACGTACAAGATTGAGACACAGGGATTTGGAAAACACCAAATCAACAAACTATGTTTGTAATGACGCAAATTGCGACCTTAAAACTATGGTTTTCAGAAACGCACCCCAGAATCATTCCTCAGCTCTGTGCCATAATTTGCCATCGTCTAGCATTGTTTGTCAAACCATTTATTTGTGTATTACATCATAGATACCCCGTTTCAGATTGTATTAAAAATGGCCTCAGAAGAGTTTAGCAATTCTGTTCAATACCTTTAGTCATCAGTACTTTTATCAAGACTTTAATTGCAACTTACTGTACAAATAGTAGTCGAATGTGACATTGTAGTCAAAATCCGGTGTTGGTGTCACATCTTCATAATCTTCACTGCTAGATGCGTTAACTGAAAGGACAAAAAAAGTTGTTGTTTTTTCACAAATTTGAAGTGTGTGAAGTGTCAATCAAAAAAAGCTTTTAATACTCTGCAATGTCTTCCAGATTTTTTTTTTCAGAACTTTAATCATCTGTGTAAGGGATAATGTACATCTAACTAGTCGTTACAGCACAGTATTTGTTTTATTATTATTGTTTTTAATCAATTTGTATGTTTTCATATTTGTATGTTTTGTCGTTTATTTAAATGACATTTAATTTATATTTTATCCATCAAGTTATTGACAACTATCAGAAATAAAGATTAAAAAATTTTTTGTAAGGAAAGTTTATTTAATGCTTTTAGATTTACAATTTATTTTTTTCTATATTAACACTGAAGAAGGAAGAAAAAAAGTATCTCAACTCAGTAGAGCCGCCATTTTAGTACAGGGTAGCGCTCCTTTGAAATGAATGCGGGACCAAGCTACAGTGGAGGACTGTGGCCATCCAAAACCAGAGATGTATACACATATCAATGATTGGGAGTTTGTTTTTTGTCAGTATGCAATTTTTTTTTTATTATGAAAATTATAATTTGACATCACTTTTCTACATTGATGGAAAAGTGACCGCACAGGCATTCCTGACAAAAAGATTGTGTTTGTGTGTATGGAAATGTACAATCCACCCTCCTTGTTAGATTTGATCTTATCCGGGTCCTGAAAAACAGCCCCCCTCCTGCTTTCACTTCTCATTCTGAGGGAGGAAGGGATTAGTTTGTTAATGAATCTCCATTATGAACTCGTTCAATGAGGCGACAATAATAAAGTTTCTGGCAGCGCAGCATCTCGTTGTCATATTTAATTTGCATTGTTTGCTGATTTTATTCAACAAAACTAGCATAAGCCGAGTATTTAGTGCAAGTTGGTGCTACTTTGCCTTATGGTGAATGCAGTGAGTGACTGTATTATCATCAGTAAATTTACCTGTTTAGCACAAAAGTTCATAACATACAAAAACGTAAAAAACTCAATCTTACCAATGAAATGTTCTGCCTTTGTGCTTTGTTTTCTTTATATGCCCGCTAGTACACCCATAGACCACACTAAAGTCCAGCATCATCACGTAGGGTCTGTATGCGATATCTAGTGTATATATATTTATGACCTCTGTGTGCTCTCTTTGTGGCACACCCTCGTTAGTTTCCTTGGTTACCCCTGTTAATTGCCCCAGTGTGTCACTGTTTGCCTTATGTATAAAAGGCTGTGCGTTGATGTCTTAATGGTCAGTAATTGAATGTTTGTAGATTGTGTTTGTTTTCATGTTTCTGTTTGTACCCATTGTTTGGTTTTCTTTTAAACCTTTAAACTGCATGTAGATCCAGCTCTCATCTTTGCTTTGCCTGCACTTTGAGTTTGATGCAGTACACCTGACCGCTGTGGACTCTGTAGTACGCCTTGTCCTTCTACGTGGAGGATTATGCTTGAACATAGCTTTGAACAGTGCATATCATTCTGAACTCCCAGACTTTGCACTGAGCAATTTCTTCTGCCATTGACTCAATGAACTACTAAAGACAATCTTAGTCTGTCCTCAAGAGTCACTTTGTGAGAGTTTGGACACTATCTTTCAGGATATTGGTTACTCCTTTACCCTTGGCTGTAATCAGCAAAATCCAATATCAACGCACACTTTGACAACACCACACCACAATTAATGATCGCCTCACCTGTAATCTTACCTGCTGCTCCCCAGTCCAGCCTAATTTCACCATCAACATGGCCACCTATATAGTATCAGCAGCCAAGATGCCACCAGTACAGTGCCAGCACCCAATATGACCACCAGAACAGTGTCAACATCCAAGATGGCCACTAGTACAGTGTTAGCATCCAAGAGGGCCACTAGTACAATGTCAGCATCCAAGATGGCTGCCACTTCAGAGTTTAGCCTCATGGTGGTCACAAATCACAGCCCTCAAAGATGCTCAATCAAAGACACCTGTCTCTAGCATCGCTTCCTGACATCATGCCAGAGCCTGTCCCAGATCCTGACACCATGCACAAGATTGTCCCAGTTCCTGACACCACACCAGAACCTGTCGCACATCCTTACATCAAACTAGAGTCTGTCCCAAATCCTGACACCATACCAGACCTGTCCCTAATCCTGACACTAAACTAGAGCCTGGCCCAAATCCTTACACCATGCCAGAACCTTCCCCAGATCCTAACACCATGCCAGAGATTGTCTCAGATCCTGACACCACACCAGTACATGTCCCACATTCTGCCACCAAACTAGAGCCTGTCCCAGATTCCGACACCATACCAGAGCCTGAGCCACAGCCTGACACCATGGCAGAACCCATCTCAGATACTGGCCCCATACCAGAGATTGCCGCAGATCCTGACACCACACAAGAACCTGTCCCACATTCTGATAGCAAACTAGAGCCTGTCCCTGATCCCTACACCATGCCAGAACCTGTCTCAGATCCTGACACCATACCATAGATTGCCCCAGATCCTGACACCACACCAGAACCTGCCCCACATTCTGACAGCAAACTAGAGCCTGTCCTAGAGCCTGACACCATGCAAGAACCTGTGCCAAATCCTGACACCAAACTAGCCTGTCCCAGAGCCTGACACCATGCCAGAACTTGTCCTACCTCCTGACACCATGCCTGAGATTACACCAGACCAGAACCTGTCCAACATCCTGACATCATGCTAGAGCCTGTCCCAGAAGCTGACACTATACCAGAACATGTCCCAAATCCTGACACCAAACTAGAGCCTGTCCCAGAGCCTGACACCATGTCAGAACTTGTCCTACCTCCTGACACCATGCCTGAGATTGCACCAGATCCTGACACCAGACCAGAACCTGTCCAACATCCTGACATCATGCTAGAGCCTGTCCCAGAAGCTGACACTATACCAGAACATGTCCCAAATCCTGACACCAAACTAGAGCCTGTCCCAGAGCCTGACACCATGCCAGAACTTGTCCTACATCCTGACACCATGCCTGAGATTGCTCCAGATCCTGACACCAGACCAGAACCTGTTCAACATCCTAACATTATGCTAGAGCCTGTCCCAGAGCCTGACACTATACCAGAACATGTCCCAAATCCTTACACCAAACTAGAGCCTGTCTCAGAGCCTGACACCATGCCAGAACTTGTCCCATATCCTGACACCATGCCAGAACTTGTCCCACATCCTGACACCATGCCAGAGACTGCACTAGATCCTGACAGCAGACCAGAACCTGTCCCACATCCTGACATCATGCTAGAGCCTGTCCCAGAGCCTGACACTATACCAGAACATGTCCCAAATCCTGACACCAAATTAGAGCCTGTCCCAGAGCCTGGCACCATGCCAGAACTTGTCCCACATCCTGACACCATGCCAGAGACTGCACTAGATCCTGACAGCAGACCAGAACCTGTCCCACATCCTGACACCATGCTAGAGCCTGTCCCAGTGCCTGATACCATGCCAGAACTTGACTCACATCCTAACACCAAACTAAAGCCTGCCCCAGATCCCGATGCCATGCCAAAACCTGTCCCAGAGCTTTTTCCAGACCCTGACACCAGCCAGAACCTGTCCTAGATCCTGACACTACCAGAGCCTGTCTCAGAGCATGACACCATGCCTGAACCTGTCCCAGATCCTGACACCAAACTAGAGTCCTAGTCCTCAGCATGACAGATAAGGTTTCCAGTTTCCCCTCCCCCTGGAGGCCCTCAGTCCTGCTGAATTGGTCATTAGGGCCACCAGCTCAGTCATGATGGACCCAATCTTGGCTTCCAGTTCTGTTGTCTCCACCCTGGTTATGCATCCTGCCAGCTCTGTGCTTCTGCCTGTCCTCCTGTCCTGCCAGTTCCATACTGCCGGTCTAGCACTGGCCACCAGACCGACTTCCCCTATGGTCTCATTATTTTCCTGCTTTTTGTGTGTGTGTTGTTTTCCTTTGCACCTGTTTACCTCTTTGTGCTCTCTAAAAGCATATGAATTCGCCTCTGATCTTTGCCTTGGCTGCACTTCTCTGGGAAATTTCGAGTTAGCTTTCGAATTGTTCTAAATATTGCTTAAACATGTTTAAATGCTGAATTCCCAGATTGAGCAATGAAAAGCAAATATTCTGAGATCCATGAAATCGAAATAATGAATGCATGATGTTCAAATGTACAATTGTTACTTTCTTAATTAAATCTGTTTGGCTGTTGAAAAGCTATTATTCGCTGTGTTGATATCATCTTCAACTTCAGCCAAGAATGGAAAAGTTCTCATTCCTCTACCCTGGGCTTGTGTTCAAACGCTTCTATTTTCATTCCAAAGAATGATATACTGAATGCTCAGTGGGAGAATAAGAGACAGATAACAAAACACCCAGAGGACAGATTTCCAAGCAGCAGTCTGAGAACTCAGTGTTTTACAGGATTTTTACCCCACTTTCAGCCTTATAGGGTGTGTTCACACTTGTCAGGTTTAGTTTGATTTAAAACCAGTGGGATTGCTCTATTAGTGTGGGTCATTTGCTGCCATCAAACTCAGTTTTGAATTTTACTATAGTGCAGTTTGCATTAAATAGGAACACACAGACCAAAAATCTAAACAAATCCAAAATTAAGACTTTCTCATGAGATAAAATCATGCAATGAACAAAATGTTCAAGCATCCCTGCTCTTAGTTGTGATGTAGCCCATTACAGTTCAAAACGGGCATCAGAAATGCAGTAGATCTTCCTTTGTGTAATGACAGAGGAATTTCACCTCCTTTACACATTTGATAAAGCTCTTAACTGATAAAAAATACATTGTACATACATAACCTTAATTGGGTTTAGCTCAGTACACAGCATTATTTAGGATGCGCTGTCAGTTCAGTACAAACTGCACATCATAAGTGACTAAAAATCTAAGTCATGAGGGTTCAGTTATAAAAATGAGAGTGAACTTTACTGGAAGTACACCAGCACTAAATGTATTTTTCTTTTTTAGTGTGGATCAAACAAACTGAGCCAGTGTG